GTGCTGGTTTTAACCTACAAAATCCTACACGCCTTGGGCACGGTTTACCTATCCGAACTGCTCTCGGTCCCACCATTTTCGCAGGCGTGTTTGGTGGGGACGAGAGGCAGGGGCTTATCTGTGGTGGTCCCCAGGCTATGGAACTCTCTCCCCAGTGAGATTAGGTCTGCCCCCTCTCTCCTGTCATTCAGGAAGCAGCTAGAATCCTGGCTTTGGAGTCAGACATTTGCAGATTGACGGATGATTTGATATAGACCAAGAGTTATTTGGCCACAGCGTTTTGGACTGAGTTGGATGTTGTTTTAATGTGATGAATTGTTTTTATATGTATTTTAGAACTTATTTATTGTATGTTGTTTTATGACATTATTTATTTTATAGCATTGAATTTTGATGTTAGCCATTCTAAGTCCCTCCACGGAGGTAGAGAAGAATGGATACAAAAGTTCTAGATAAATAAATAAATTCTTCAGTGCCTGTTCTATAGAGATATGCGATCCTGTCTCGTTACGCCATGGCTATACAAACGCCATGGCTATACAAATCCTTACATTTCACCTGTCATGTCCAGCACTTTTAATTTTATTCATTACATTTGGCCCAGCCCTTAGTTTTAAATGTGTCATGATGTATTGTTTTAATGTTTTACTGTTATTGCTTTATGTTTATTGGATGCTTTATGAGTTTTATGTTGTATTTGTTATGCTGTTGTTTTATTGAGGGCCTTGGCCTTTGTAAGCCGCACTGAGTCCTTCGGGAGATGTTAGCGGGGTACAAATAAAGTTAATAATAATAATAATAATAATAATAATAATGTCAAAGTGAAACCTGGGCTGAGAAATGGCTCTTAACTAAAAAATGTTCTTAAGTTGGTATGCTCTTAAGTCAAAGTTTCACTGTACACTTTGTCTTTAATGCAGACCCCATCTTTACTAGATGTGACTTGCATCAAAGACAAAGATGGCTGCTAGATTAGAGGAGCCCTTTCTTCTGTGGGTTGCTGCAGAAAGTGCAAAGACATATTTTCATTTTGTTTGTGGCCTTATTTTACTATAAGGCTTCCTTGGAGAGAGGGGATATACTGGCCATGCTGACTGGGATAGTCTGAGAATTACAACACAAAAAAGGTCACTCTTCTGAGCTTTGATTTTTTTTCCAGGATCAGAGTAAATGCATAGTCTCAAACCAAATCTCAGCACAGGGGTTTGGAGTTTAATCCAGGATTAGGGAACAAATAAAGCTATAGATACACAAAAACATAAAGTAATATAGCTGTTGTTAGATTGCACCTCCCAGCAGTCCTAGGCACTGTAGAAGGATGATGTCCAAGTGTATCGAAAAGAGCTACACATGCCTAATGCAGCCTTCCCTTCTTCTGTCCACCTCTCAATTCATGTATTTCCCCTCTTTCAATATTTTTTTTATTTCTTAGCCCTAGCCAAGCATAATTTCCTCCTAATCAAAAAGTAGAAATAACTCAGCGGAAGCCACTTTCTTTGCAGTTCAGACTTAATCAGAGCAAGGGTTTTCTTTCTTTCTTATCTAGCCCTCATATCACATGTGGCACCAGATCAGCTGAGATAAGAAACTCTAATGACCACAACAGATTTCCTTTTTCCCTCTTTCATTATTTGGCACGTTATGCTCACCTCCAGTAGGGAAGCCACTATATATGTATAGCACGCTGGCTGCTGTGCCATGCGAAAGAGGATTGGACTCAGCATCCTACCCGCCTGTGGGGATGGTTGCCCAGGATGGAATATATACTTTCCTTTAATAAGCTCCTCACTCTACCTTCGAGATAAAAAGGGAGAGGAAATGTTTATATTCTGACAAACCGTCTCTTTCCACCAAGGTCTTGTTTTATTTATTAGCTCGCTCTGTCCCTCTTGTCATTTCTCCCTCTTCTCTTCCTTTTCCGGTATATCCATCCCTCTTCCTCCCCCTCACTTTCTCTCCCACACTTGCTAATTCTGTCCTTGAGTGACAGTGAAACTTTCAGAAAAATCTATGCCGCTTGCCTTCAATTCCTTCTCACCATCCTCTCCATAAGAAGAGATGCTTAAAAGTGGTTCACTGTGTTCAGGAAAGTAACAGAGCACCTTATTCTCATAAAGGATAAAGCCCATTCAAGTCACCATAACACAAAATACAAACTGTTTATTTCAGTGTTTCTCCATCTGGGGGTTAGGACCCCTGGGAGGTAGCGTGAGGGGCTTCAGAGGGTTCACCAAAGACCATCAAAAAACACATATTTCCGATGGTTTTAGGAACCCCTTTGGCAGAGGAGGCTGTAGATCTCTCCGCCTATCCTTCTCTTCCTTTTTGGAATCCTCCCACCAAAAGCCCTCCTCTGCTGTGATTGGCCGGCCTCTCAGCCGGCCTCTCAGCCAAGGGGAGGGCTGTTCTGTGACTCCAAGCAAGGAGAGGAGAGCAGGCGTGTTCGGCGCATGGCAGAATGGGAGAGCATGTGAGGCTGGAGGGAGGATCATGTCAGCATGTCCCTTCAAGTCAAGGGGAAAGCACCGCACGACATGGGACTGAGAGTGGCCCAGCAGCATCAGGAGGAGTAGCAGCAACAGAAGCAGCTCATGTAATTTGTAATGCTATTTATTAGGGGAAAAGTCAGTATTTCCTTTTGTTTTTTATTAATGCTCCCATTAGAAAATTCATATTTATCTATTTATATTTATCTTACCTTTTTTTCCCCCAACCCTAGATCCTGATTTTAACCCCCCCTTCCCTTTACCCCCCCCCCACCGTCCCACTCCCGTTCCCATATTTACCCCTTATATCTTCCCAACCCCTCATTCCAAACTCCTCCCCCTCCCTTCTTTTTTATGTGAATCTTGAAGAACTTAATAAAAAATATTTTTTAAAAAAGAAAAAAAAGAAAATGCATATTTATTTATTTATTATTTAGAGCATTTGTATCCTGTCCTTCTCAACCTCCGAAGGGGGGCTCAGAACAGCTTAGAATTGGCAGTCGTTAGATGCTGACAAAGAAACAGATATGGTTAAACTACAACTCCCTAAAATGTGGGTTAATCCTCCCCAAATCCCATGTTGGATCTGTGTGCCAAGTTTGGTCCAGATCCGTCGTCAGCTGGGTTCAGTGCTCTTTGAATGTGGGTGAACTACAACTCACATATACCAAGATCAATCACCCCCAAACCCCGCCTGTATTCACAGTTGGCCAGGTTGGGTCTGTGTGCCCAGTTTGGTTGAGATCCATCATCGGTGGGGGTCACAGGGTTCTCTGGATGCAGGGAGAGCTACAATTGCCATCATGTTGGGTGAGTCCCCCCAAACCCCACCAGTATTCAAAGTTGGTCATATTGAGTATTTGTGTCAAGTTTGGTCCAAATCCATCATTTGTGTCCACAGTGCTCTCTGGATGTTGGTGAACTACAACTCGAGAACTCAAGCTCAATGCTCACCAAAACTCAGTATTTTCTGTTGGTCATGGGAGTTCTGTGTATCAAGTTTGATTCAATGCCATGGTTGGTGGGGTTCAGAATGCTCTTTGATTGTAGGCTAACCATAAATGACAGCAACTACAACTCCAAAATGACAAAATCAACCCCACAGAACCCCACCAGTATTAAAATTTGGGTGTATCAGGTATTTGTGCCAAATGTGGTCCAGATCCATAGTTGTTTGGGTTCACAGTGCTATCCAGAAGTAGGTAAACTACAACTCCCCTAAATCACTTTCAGTTCCTTCCAAATCTCTCCAGTATTTTCTGTTGGTCATGGGGGTTCTGTATGGAAAGTCTGGTTCAATTGGTGGGCTCTTTGATTGTAGGTGAACTATAAATCCCAGCAACTATATCTCCCAAATGTCAATGTGTATTTTCCCCAAACTTCCCCGGTGTTCACATTTGGACATTTTAAGTATTTCTGCCTATAAATCCCAGAAACTACAACTCCCAAATGACAAAATCAATCCCCCCCCCCCAACCCCACCAGTATTAAAATTTGGGCGTATTGGATATATGTGCCAAATTTGGTCCAGTGAATGAAAATAAATCCTGTATATCAGATATTTACATTACAATTAATAACAATAGCAAAATTATAGTTATGAAATAGCAACAAAAATAATCTTATGCTTGGGGGTCACCACAACATGAGGGACTATATTAAGGGGTCATGGCATTAGAGAGGTTGAGGAACACTAGTCTATTTAATAAGGTTTTTTTTAAAAAAAAAGAAGCCCAAGTCAAGATAGATACCAATCTCTGACAGCAATTAAAAGTTGAGATAAAGTAGGTTTAACATTATCTGCGATTCAATTGCTGGCTTCTGCTGCATGCTTCATGTTGAAGGAAAGGCCTCCTATGGGCCTGAAAAAAACCAAGAAAGGCCAAAAACAAAGTGAAATTGCCTCTGCATTGCACAGGAGATATTGCTAAATATTTGTGGTGTTTTTTTAAAGTTCAGGGTTCGGATGACACTTCAAGGTCCTGCAAGGGGCCAACATAGCCCCTAAATCTCGAATAGTTCCTCATCCCTGATTTAAAGGGTGGACTGTAGTTAGAATTGGAATAATAATAATAATAATCATCATCATCCTCACAGATCAAGGCAGGGCACAAGACCATCAAAACATAAAATACATACAATAAAATACATATATCAAAACATCCACTATAAAATACACACACCCAAGCACATGGTACAAAAATCAAAATGCATTGGGCATAGAATGCAAACCCAAAAGTTATGGTTCAGAACTGACTGAGATGGTCTGCGGGAAAAAGTGGATCTTTAACTGTGCCTTAAAAGTTTGCCAGCTATTGGTAACGTATACATTATGGAAATAATAATAATAATAATAATAATAATAATAATAATAATAAGATTGACAGTTCCTTTAGCTTCCAGATCATGACAGTTAAAGCGGCAGTTAAACAGCATTGATCCCACAGCGGAAAGACATTCTATGCCTGCCTCGTCTATCTCACACGATGTTTCTGGCAGCATCCACACTGAGAGGATGATGGTGGAGGCCCGTACAAAAAGCTGTTTGGTGACAAGAGCTTAATTCTGGATGGAGGTGAAGAGGTAGAAGAAGGTGCCATCTATCATGTCACTCTCAAAAGAGTACAGATTCAACAAGCTGCTAGTAAAGCAGCAAGATGGCTTGGGATTGAATGGGACCAACTGCCCCCAGATCATGCTGTTAGCGTATGTGAGACATGTAAGATAAGGTCAATCAAGGCTGGCACTCTGGAGAAGCTGGTGGAGAACCTGTTGACAGCTTTTGGGGACCATGACTTCACCTTCCTCAATGTATTTCTGTCAACGTATCGAGGCTTTGCATCCACAAAAGAAGTTCTGGATTTGATCCTTGACAGATATGGAAACCTGGAAGAAGACGGAAGCCAGAACTCTACTGAAAGCAAAACAGTCCTCAGGACAGCCATGGCCTCCGTTTTGAGAGCGTGGCTAGACCACTGCCCTGAAGACTTCCGAGAGCCCCCCAATTACCCTTGTTTGCAGAAACTCTTGGCTTTTCTGTCACGGGTCATGCCAGGGTCGGGACTTGAAGGAAGGGCACAAAACCTGTTGGAGCAATTTCAGAAGCCAGAAGTCGTGAATGGCGGGATCCGTGACACCCTTGCCAATGTGGAAAAACTAGAGACTGAGAGTTCAGAAGATTTCTCCTCTTTCGCTGAAGCCTTTGTGGCAGAACAGCTCACCTACATGGATGCCAAACTGTTTCAGAGGGTGGTGCCATATCACTGTTTGGGCAGCATCTGGTCTCAGAGGAATAAGAAGGAAAACCACCACGTGGCCCTCTCCATCAGAGCCACCATTGCACAATTCAATGCCGTGACCCAATGTGTCATCCAAACCATCTTGAAGGACAAAGAGYTGACAACCCAGCAGCGAGCCAAGATCATAGAGAAATGGATCAGTATTGCCCACGAATGCAGGATCTTGAAGAATTTCTCCTCCTTGAGGGCCATCGTTGCAGCACTGCAATCCAACTCCATCTACCGGCTAAAAAAGTGTTGGRCCAGCGTTGCCAAGGACAGCATGTTGATGTTTGAAGAACTGTCAGACATTTTCTCAGACTCTGACAACTATTTGATAAGCCGGGAGCTGCTTAAGAGGGAAGGAACAGCAAAATTTGCAAATTTGGGCAGCACTGGAAAAGAAAACCAGAGAAGGGCTCAGAGGCGACTTCAGCTCCAAAAAGATATGGGCATAATGCATGGCACGGTTCCTTACCTTGGGACCTTTTTGACTGATCTGATAATGCTCGATGCAGCCCTACAGAACTATGTGGAAGGGGGACTCATAAATTTTGAGAAGAGAAGGCAGAAGTTTGAAGTAACAGCTCAGATTAAGCTCTTGCAATCCTCCTGCAACAACTACTGCATGGCGGCAGACATAAGATTCAGCCAGTGGTTCAGGACACAGCCATCTTTAACAGAGAAAGAGAGCGATACCCTTCCTCGTGAGATAGAAGCAACTACCACATCTCTAAAACCACTGAAGAGCAGGGGGAAGAGGATGAGCTCCTTACTTCACTGCTGTAATTTCACATACCGTGCCCACCAAAGGACACCCAAGCGGGAGTGAAAGCCACAGAAGATAGTACGTCATTGCAGATACTGGGTCAAGGCCGGTTATTTAAACAGGACTTTGACAGAGATTAGACGGTCTCTAGGATATGGATTTACCTCAATGGGGGAGCAAGCCTCTTTGAGGAACGACTGTGTTTTTAATCTAATGTTCATAATTTTATTGTTAATTTTGTTACTTGATTGTGCTGTATTTTGTGTTTTATATTCATTGGATATGTTATTAACTGTTCATTCTATTTTATATATTTTATTGTATTGCACTTGTTATATTAATGTTGTAAGCCGCCCAGAGTCCCTTTGGGAGAGAGGGCAGGATATAAATAAACTTTTAAATCATAATTATTATTATCTCTTCCGGCAGGTCATCCAGCAGTCTTAGAGCAGCCAATGAAAAGGTCCTCCGGGTGAGAGTTCACCATCGGGTTCCAGCTTTTTGGAGTAGCCACTCCACAGAGGACCTCAATGTCCTTTGGGGCAGATTGTGAACCAAACCATGGACCCAAACCATGAGGGAGTGGGTCTTTATTCTTTACATATGCACATTGTTTCTATAGCAAGGTGGGCTTCCCCATTGGTGATGTTGTCCAGATCTATTGAAAGTAGGCATGCAACCTTCAGATTGAACTATCAGCAGGGGCAGATCGTTATGCAACCAAGTCTAGCAGAAGTCCTCTCTTCTATATATCTGTTAAAGGAGCCAGAGCACTTTCCTTTCATCACTGCATTTTTACTTTTCCCTTTCTTTTCCACAAAGTGATGAGCGAATGACGAAGAAGCTTGAACTTTGATTCCCTTGATAATGGAGTGGAAGAAGCTGTTGAGGAAGATACTGAGCTGTAATGACAGGAAGGCTCACTTTTGTTGAGTCCTGCTAAATTTATCATCTTTCCGTTGAAATGCTTGTAGTAACTGTATTGGATAAATGTTTGTAAATATGTTGACTTATTTCTATTGTAAATTGTTTTTATAGGTTTTGCTTTACGTATGTATGTGATTTTGTATTGTTTCTACATAATGTTGTTGGGTCCCATTCAGGGAGAATAGTGAGATACAAATAAAGATTTATTATTGTTGTTGTTGTTGTACCTCACTACCTTTGGGGATGCTTGCCATAGATGCAGGTGAAACATCAGGAGAGAATGCCTCTAGACAATGGCCATATAGCCTGAAAAAACCTACAACAACCCAGTGATTCCGGCCATGAAAGCCTTCGACAATACGTTGTTGTTGTTGTTGTTGTTGTTGTTTGAAGAAGGTCTTTTCAAGTGGCTTCTCTATGTCATGGATGTCATGGAAGTGCAGAGATGGAACAAAACAGCACCTGGTGACTCTCCACCAGCCAACAGTGCCAGAAGAATCATCCAAGGAAAGAAAAATCAAAACCTGCCAACTTGATTTCTAAACTAGCTTCTACATAGGATGGATTACAATTGGATACAAGTAGCTTCCTGCCCCAGAATGACATGTTAACCTTTGTCTGCTTCTGGTCCTCAACTGACTTAGGCTGGAGGAATCCCACTGATGTCACTATTGATGTTTACTGGAACTAACAACTGGACCCAGCTATCATACTATCACCTACTCCTGTTCTAACTAACATCAACAAACTCAACTGACTTTTAATTCAAAACTGACTCTAACCTTAACTGATTTCTAACTGATTTAACTGACTCCAACTGACTTCTGATTGAAACACATTCTAAAATGGAGTCTCACTCTGAACAGGGTCACAACCTCTAACAACATAGAGTTCAGAGTCAAACTGCATACCAACATACACATACAATATAGTCAGCAATCTCAGTTATATACATAACAAATAACTAGTATAGCAGGCTTGTAGGAGGTTGCTATTTCCAACAGGCCAGGCTTTCCTTGATTCAGTCTATCCACCTTTTATGTGGCCTTCCTCTTTTCCTACTGCCTTCCAAGCAAGAAACTAGACAATGAATATTAGGGCACTATGACACACAGTACATCAGGGCTTCTGATCTTCAACAACCAGAAAGGGGATTAGGGGAGATACAGATCCCCCGCTGTTTTAGGAGATGTGTCATCCTCCAGTTCTGGTCACTGTGTACATTTGTGATCTTTGAGACTCATAGTTCACATTATACACCATTACTCTGGTTCTGACTCATAGTTCACATTATACGCCATTACGCTCCTCCTGTTTTCTTCACATCTATGCTGAATGAGCTGAATCAATTGAATCTGCATGTGTAACATGGCTTTTAAAGGTTAAATAAGATGTATCTTGTGAAAAGTATGAGTCGTCAGGATGCATTTCAACAGAAGCCCTGCATTGTTGCAAAACATGCAACAATACTGATCCATGTATTGTCAAAGGCTTTCATGGCCGGAATCACTGGGTTGTTGTAGGTTTTTTTCGGTCTGTATGGTCATGGTCTAGAGGCATTCTCTCCTGACGTTTCGCCTGCATCTATGAGGATGCTTGCCATAGATGCAGGCGAAACGTCAGGAGAGAATGCCTCTAGACCATGGCCATACAGCCCGAAAAAACCTACAACAACCCAGTACTAATCCAAGCAAAAACCTGCATAATTTTAAGCATTGACTTTATATATGAACTAGCAGTTGTTGTTAAAAAGGTGTCACGCTTCTATGTATGTGGGGCCAATCATTGAACATGGGCTTCCTCAAAGGGTTGATGTGCTTATAAAATGGGAACGAGGAAAGCCATGACTGCTGTCTCGAGCTCACTGGAGAAAAAGTGGGCATGAAGACCCACTTCGCCTTATCCCCAGCTGGCCACCATCAGAAGAACAACTACAGTAGAGGAGTTGGCTATGGCTGGATTTACACTGCCCTGTATGCCAGGATCTTATCCCGGATTATCTGATTATCCCAGATTAGACTCGTATAATACAATTCAAAGCAGATAATCTGGGATCAGATCCTGGGATATAGGGCCATGCAGATCCAACCCAACAGGGCCGAATTGCAACATCAGAAATGGGCATTGTGCCACAGGACTATTGTGAGAATAGTAGTAGAGCAGTGGTTCTCAACCTGTGTGTCCTCAGGTGTTTTGGCCTACAACTCCCAGAAATCCCAGCCAGTTTACCAGCTTAGGATTTCTGGGAGTTGAAGGTCAAAACATCTAGGGACCCACAGATTGAGAAAAGAAGAAATGGTTGACCAGGCATGTAGCCTGGGGGGGGGGGGGTTGAAAGGCTTCAGCCTCCCTCCCCTGAAATTCTCATGGTGGTTTGCGAAAAGGCCTTACTGGTGCATTATTTAAACTGTTATGTTTATTCATATCATGATCTGATTACCATACTCAATATATCCCATATGCATGGGGGTATTGGGGTAACGATACAAAAGGTTTGCTAGGGTAGACCCTCTTTCACTCAGACTCAGCCCCCCCCGAAACTCAGCCCCCCGAACCCCCCCCCTGAAAAAAACTCAGCCCCCCCCCCCCCCCGAAACGAAATCCTGGCTATGGGCCTGAGTGTAGTAGAGCCTCTTTGAACTCACTGGAGGAAAGGTAGGATATGAATTTGTCTAAAAATAAATAAACACATGGGCAATCCAAAACGGCTATCTATATAAATAAAAATGTAATGTTCGTTTGTGGGATTAACATATTGCCACCAAATTTGGCCACAAGACACCTACTAACCCAAGGAGTGACCATCACTTAAAAATTGAGTTTGTCATTTGAGAGTTGTAGTTTCTGGGAATTACAGTTAACCTACAATCAAAGAGCATTCTGAACTCCACCAATGATGGAATTGAATTAAATGAGGCACACAGGACTCCCATGACCAACAGAAAATACTAGAAGGGTTTGGTGGGCATTGACATTGAGTTTGGGACTTGTAGTACACCTACATCCAAAGGGCACTGTGGACTCAAACCATGATGGATCTGGACCAAACTCAGCACGAATATGTCGAACTAGGAACACAGATGGAGCTTGCGGGAAATAGACCTTGACATTTGTGAGTTGTAGTTATTGGGATTTATAGTTCACTTACAATCAAAGAGCATTCTGAACCCCACCAACAACAGAATTGGGGCAAACTTCCCACACAGAACTCTTATGACCAATAGAAAAGACTTAAGGCCATCGAGTCCAACTCCCTTCACCAGGGCAAGAAAATGTAATCGAATAGTCTTTACCCACAAGCATCAAGAAATTACATATATTAGAAACCAACACTTTCTCATTACTTTATTTTCCAGATCACCACACTGGGCCACAGCAACGTGTGGCAGGGGACGGCTAGTTATACATAAATATGTTCCAACTGTATCTTCAGTGCCAGAGTTAGTTACTACTATCATATACACAGCTACTCAGAAAGGTACAGCAGCCTGGAAGGTTTTGGGCTACAGTTCTAAGAACTCCTTTGAGCATCTGAAGAGAAGACACCTGTTTGCTATCTCCAGATTATCTGAGTCAGAAAGCATGGGACAAAATTGTGAATGAAAGAAAAGTTGGCTCCAATAATTCATCTCAAATCCCCCCATCCTTTTCATTTTCTTCCTCAAAGATCTGGTTTCAGGTCACATCCCACGTTTCCGTTCCCCTTCTCCTCTGGCCCTGACCTCCTGTTAGATCTGCCCATTGAAGGTTTCTCACCATATGGCTGCTCAAAAAGCTCACCTATCAGTCACAGCTTGTGAGGAATCAGGAAGGAAGGAGCCTCGTTTCAGATTTCCTTTCAGGAGATCCTCTCGCAAAGATATCCTTCCCTGATACAGAGGCATCTGGCTCATTATGATCATAGCAAACATTTGGACTTACCTCTTCACTGCTCTCTTTTCAGGTCTGATTATATCCCTTTTCCTGCCGAAAAATAAAGAAGGAAAATAAATAAATGGCTTATCTTATTTTTTCTCTCTCTCTCTACTCAACAACTTTCTATATTACATTGTCGAAGGCTTTCATGGCTGGAATCACTGGGTTGTTGTAGGTTTTTTGGGCTGTATGGCCATGTTCTAGAAGCGTTCTCTGCAGGCGAAACGTCAGGAGGGA